ATCAAACATGTTTGATTTTCTCCCAACCTTACGATTCCTGATTGGGAGTTGATCGTGACAGACTGATCGCCCCTCGTTACCCCCGTATACTATACGACACAGGCTGAAATTTGGCCCGATTTAAACATCCTCGCACAACTGGAAAGTCGACCCGAATAGGGCTAAAAATGGCACAGTGTATGCCCGGCTTAATGAACCCAACAGGGGGCTGTTGATTCGGTGCAACTGCATCATTATCAGGATGGAGCCTGATCAGAATAATGTAAAAGTTGAGTCTGTTCCTTCTGTGAAATAACAGGCATCAAACAGGCCGTCTTTATGTAGGATAGGAGAAAGTAAATGTTTGTTAATTCCTCACTAAAACAAAAGCCAAACGTGTTGTTAAAGAGAGGACTACTTTGAAAAGCTGTCTGGGAGGGGAAAATATATAAAGAAGTCTGTAGAAAATGGCTTCTCATCCCAATTTTTCACAAATGCTTTGAAATGGAAACCGAACTCAGACAGATGAGCAGGTTTTCGAGAACTCCTGTATAAATGGATCAAAGAATATCAAACATGTCAAAGACTCAGTCAATGATCAGCTACATGAAGTAAAGCTATCAGCTGGAGAGTGACTGAAATAAGGAGAGACTTGGATGATTAACCTTTTCCTATGACTGAAGAGAAAAGGAGCATCATGGAGCAAGATTCTTCTCTCTGGGTTCAGACAACACACGTCGTTTGTCATATGAAGCTCATTCACTGAACAAGCTGCAGACTACCTGCCCATGGTGGGTCAAACATCCGGCTACAGGGTGCTTCCCATTGGGATCATGCATCAGTTTCAATGCCTGCAGATACATGAAGAGGTCTGCTGCGCTGTGCTACAAAGAGTATAGGAAATGTTAAAATGAGACAGAAACCCAAAAACACAACTGGGGTGTTGAAAGCAGTTTAGTCAAAACCTGCAGATTAACATTAGGGTAGACAGAAAACAAGAAGTGTCAGAAGTCAGCTTCTATGGATTGATTTATAGCTGTTAAAGAAGAAGTACGGTCAGCAAAGGAATAATGAATGGATCATTATTTATAACTAAAACTCATACGTTCGCGGTGATTTAATTAATCTAGCGTTAATCAGTTAAAAAAATAAAAACAATCATTTTCGTCGCCATCACAGAGTCTGGGAGTGGCCATTTTTGAGTTATGAGTTATTTCATTACTCATATAAACTCATATAAATGAGTCATTTCACCTTTCCGATTCATGATCCTTCACGGACGGGTTGGTCGTTGGATTGCCATCAAACTTCTGGCCAGAGAAAAAACACGTAACATGTAGCCAACATTTGGAAGAAGAAAATTACACCAGATACAGCACTGGGACTTGATCAACAGCTGATACCGCACTGTGACGTCACAAACCAGTAGGTGGCAGTAGTGCTCTTTGACAAACATGGACGCCTCCAGTAAAACACATTCAAATGAGAATTACTCTTAATTAAAAACACTTATCATTTACTGAACAGTACGTAATAATTTCATTTTTAAAGTACTTTCAGAAGTTTGAATTCTAAATATTACCGGACTTTTCCTTTAAGCAGCAAAAGTAGCTGGGTGATACAGCAGACGATGTGGAAAAGGACAAAGAGATGAAATAGAGCTAAACTATTAATTATGGCTTTCTGTGGGACAGTGGCAGCGACATAGTCATATTACACTATGACCCCTCAAGTTTATTTTAGATTGTTGTATTCAAACAATTACCTATTATTTCCAAAATGTCTTCCAAGTTTGTTATAATTGTTTTTTTCTGTACAGAATGACATCACTATCATACTACTTCCTCTTTGGTTCACATGGAAGTTCAGACCGCAGATTCCAGAAGATCCAATCCAACATGTATCGGATTTAAAACCACATGCAAATGTGGCCTGGGTCGGATTTGAAGAAGTCCGACTTTGCCTGTTCACCCAGTCAGAAATAATAGTCACTTCAGGGAGGAAAATAAATCAGATTTGGGGCACATTTGTCTGCAGAGTGAACCTAGCTAAAAAGGTTCGGATTTTAAATGGAAATCCTTACTTGATTTATTTACCAATTTTTATTCACACTGAAAAAAAAAAAAAAAACTAAATCAGCTATCATTTAAACTGGGACACATCAAAGGTAAAAAAAAAATAACACCCAACTCGGTCCGAGAGAAAACCAACACTTAGAAAGACTCGACAGAAGATGAGCACCATGATCAAATCTGCAGCTCACAAGTATTTGAATAAACTTAGATTTTATAGATGCAATGTCAATGACAACAGCAAACCCCAACAATCAGCTTGAGATGAAGAAGGAGCTGTCAACTTCATCTGAGAGCAAAGAGAAATCTGTAGCTGCATATCATCTAAGAACTGCTGAAATGAGCGGTCATATTCTTGGTGACCACAGAGGTTTAAAAACACTTTCAACGTCCAGTAAACAAAATCAAAAACGGTCCCTTTGAAGAAAGATTAATCAATATTCATGCACCCTGCAGCCAAAATACACTCCGGATTGAAGACTTGATGAATAAATGTGTGAAGATGATGATTTTTTAAGACAAATTATGGAAACTTACTAAATTTAAATGAAAGATCTAAATCTCATCCAACAGGACAGAAAAACAAAGATGATGTATTTAATAAATCTGGTAAATATTTTGGTTCTGCAAAGCATCAAGAGTTCCAATAAACACTAATTTATAGCGCCTCAAACAGACCTGTCTTCATATCTCCATCCAACATCATATTTCAAGGGTCAATTCAGTAATACTACTGCTACTGAAGCACTCTGTGTTTATCAACCTTTGCTTGATTACCGTTAGAAACCCAGGGTAAAAAGCCTCACATCTCAGAGGAGATCCAACCTGTGTTGCTCTGCTGTACCTTGATGAAACTGCGAAGCTGCTCCAGCTGGTAGCAGGCCTGGCCCAGCTGTCTCTGGAGCTTGTCCAGGGCCAGGGAGCTCTGCTGGGTCAGCCCCTCCATTTGCTCAGTGGCAGTCTGTTCCAGGGCAGCTATGGCCTTCTCACCGGCTCCAACACGGGCCTGGAGAGCATGGATCCGCTGCTCCTGGAAGGAGAAAAACAGCAGCAGGAAAGAGATCGTCATTTATAGAACAAAGAAGCCAAAACAGCCCCATGACATTTTTGGCTTCAAAAAGGATTCTAAAATAACTTATAAATATGCTTGAAAGTTTACAAACCCTTACAAATAAAAATGAAAAATAAATTGACAAAAGTAATGATAATTAAAAATGTTAAAAATGGAAGCCCTGACACTGATTATGATTTTAAATTAATAAATAAATCTATTAAACAAACATGATGGAGCTGCTGAACTCACATTTTGTTGAGCAACACTTTGAAACGACCATGGA